GCAGCAGTCGGAAGTTGATCAGTACCACAGTCGTGGAGATTGAGAGATGGGCTATAAGGTGTGTATTAAAACACTACTGTAACAGGGCAAACACAAAAACATCGTACCTTAAGCGTTTTCACAGCCACAGTAACGTCATAAGGTTTGAAGATGGCCTCGTAGACGACACCGTACTGGCCCGAGCCTACAAGAATAGGACTTGGATAAGGAATGGGAGAGTAACTCGTTGTCCCCCTCCCCCCTCCACATTCGCAACGAGTGTTGACACGTAATGAAGCCGGTTGCACATGACATAAATAAACCCTGGAGCGGTGTTTACAAAATGGAGATGCAAAAAAGGCAGAGGTGAAGAAGAAGCATGAGACATTATTTCCGAATAAAAAAAAGGATTTTAGACGGACAGCAAAGTTTAAATGAGCACCTCTGTAAAGTACATTGTGTTGAGAAGGTGCGCTGAGAGGCTACTCGAACTCGTTGCTGAGCTCATGATTCGAAGCTGAGTAGGAAGCATTTTGAGCAAACATGATTATTCAGAGTGAGTGTATGGGTAATTTGGTGCACATTACTACCACCGCACTTTGGCATAGATTTAAATAACTTAGCGATTCCCATTTCGACTATGACTCAGCACGTGACTGGACCAAACTCAATGGGATCGCAACACATTGTACTTGCTTTAGTTCTACCTCCTCCAGTCAAAAATTCATGCGTTTCATGTTATGATCTTGGTCCACCGTGTAGAATTGTGGCTATTTCCTTGTACCAGACTTTTATTTTGCAGAATAAAACCACCGACCAGAACAAGTCAGGTCGTCCATGACTAATCATTGCCTCATCATCATTTAAGTTCGTTATCCCTGTTTCTACGCCCGCTCCGATTCTCCGAACTACAATTTGTTTAACGTTATCAGAGGTGTACATCATCACAGTTGCTTTCGACTCATCGTTATTCACCTCCAGCCGTTTCAATTCTTGCGCGCAGCTTATTTGCGTTTTGCATCTGAGTAGCCTACAGGAGTGGAGAAATTTGTACATTTCTGTACCAAGATAAGGTTCGTGACATTGGTTTCACTGTGAAAAAGATGGGAACGTTGAAATAAATTGCCCAAAGCGATTTCAAAGATTACCATAAACTTGACTAAGCATTAGAGCTGGATTTACATCTATAATAAACATACATGCACAATGACCCACAACTTGACCGCCAAGTGCGTGCGCATAGTTAATTAGCCACGAGGGACAATAGAGCATGGAGGAAACGACAATGATAGCTAAACAAAAGGGAACTCGCAGTACACCGACCAGCTAGTCATACCTTAGTAATGGCAGAAACGTTCGACTGGTTTGTTCATAGATTAGATTGGGGATGCTTTCAAACTGAACGGCATGTTTGAAACGAAGTAATGAGTTCTTATAGTGACCACAGAGGAAGAAATAAAAGCACGAAAAGTGAATAAAGAATTATCTTTAGTGCATAGAATTCAACTACTAGCTCCTCACGAGATTTTAAGCCTAAGTAGTAAGAGATAACTTAAGCAACCTCTCGCTGGTGTGTCTAAGTTGGTAATTATCCGCAATAGCTGAGATGTACGAGAGTGATGGAATAGGGCCGAGGGATATGCACTTCCAATACATCGCTATCAGCATCCCATCTCCAGATTAATTTTAAAGGCGAAATCTCCAATCAGCTGAAACTCCCTTCCCATTATTTGAAAACATCAATGTCATTACTGAGTTTCCGAGATACACTGCTAAGACGGTTCCATAACATAAACAACTGATGGAAGTAATAGTAAATTCAGACTGATTTGTCAGCAGTCAATTTGACCTACCAGTACTTGCATAGGAAAAAGGCTCATGCTTAAAAACTATGGGAAAGACCAGAAGCCAGAAACTTTATAGAATCGCATATCCACAGCCTCACAGCTTTTTGGTCAGTCGGTATTGGTGATTATTGATAGCCACGAGCCGTAACAGGGTATTTGAGGAAGACATCCGACAGCCATTAACTTTCGTTTAAGTTCTTTTAACAACCAAATCGGCTGGCGAATCGAAACTGGAGCATGCGCTACAGTCATTCGCACCTTGGTGTTTGGATGATGGATGAATTTGTTGATAGATTTACGCAAATATTTGAAATAGCAGAGATGCGCAAAAATCCAAAGGCAGCTAAGGCTCGACGTGTGGAAGCTACCTATAAGATCGCCTGCAATAAAAATAATTCCTCTTCCAGCTTCTAAGAGTTCATCCCAACGTTTAAAATCACTAACCAGAGCAGGGATCGTTGGTAGCTCATCAGTTAGTTACATACTCAATAGCTGATCCATGTTCAAGAGATATAAAAGATACGCCTGATAAGCTAACAATCGAGGAATTAAGTACATCGAACAAGACCCTAAATTGTGACAAATTTCACTCGCCTTATCCCGGAGGACACGAATTCAAGGCTCATTAAAGAGTGGAACAGAAAAAGAATCAGGGAGTTAAAGAGAGAAAGAGGACCGAAATGGAAACAGGGCGAAGACTTGTGCAGTTCGTTCTATCAGAAATGCAGACCCAGACCCGATGTCGCTGTTCCAACTTCTACTTTAGTGTCATGAAAAGCAAGTTACCAACTCCTTTAAATTTGTTAAAGCACTTGGTTTTTTAAACCAATTAAATGCTATATAAGATGACGCTAAATTCCCATGTTTCGTGGCAAAGTATGCAATTTTAAATGTCTCTAAAGTAGAATAATGGGAATAAAACTCTGAGACGCGAAGTTTTTATGCTCACTAAATACCCAGCTTTCAAAAGTATTAGAAGAAGGCCAAAATCCAAAAAATATCAAACTTAAACTCTAACAAGGACGTGTGATCAAGATGGTAAAAGTACCATTTCAGATCAGATCTATGGGAGATTAAATTATCTGATGAAAAAGCAAAGACCTATGGAAACCCACCCAATTTGTGCTTCATAATGACATCGGTACGGTCGATCTCCCAGGCGTCGTAGTCGGAGTCAAAGCCACCGTGGTTACTTCGATCGCGCTTAGAGACGCCGTAGAGTAAGGGGCAGGCCAGACCATCTGCCACCTTCTCGTGGTGCTGCACCAACTCCGAAACGGTGGCGAAACGGCTTGCCTCATTGACATAGAACTGTGAAGAATGGAAACAAGAGGACATAAGTACCATTCCGACCCAATCGTTAGGGAAATGATCATTCATATTTTTCTCAAGATAGGCGTTGAGATACATCGGATAAGCAAGACCGCAACCCTAAAAACCAATTATTACAGTTCGAGAATTGTGCGAGTGCAACAAGATCCCCATGAAAGACGCCGCAGATGGCCGCGGTACTGCATTTCAGAAGAAACTGGAACTAGTACAAATTGGTAAGCCAAAGAATGAGAGCTGAAAGATTGAATGATTGAACTCAGTAGAACAGTAAGTTTTAAACTCCCTCAAGTATCTTACCACCGTCATTTCGACACTTACAGTTGAGTGGAAGCATGTCATATTTCCAAATCGAAGAAATACTGTACTGCTATTGTATCGAAATAGCAAGTAGTGTTCCGACGGTACTAGGGTCAGGTACATTTCACAAATTGAGAACAATAGCAACAAAAAAATGATTCATAGTTTGGTGATTCGTAAAAATATGCTGAAACGAGAATCTCGTAAGTTGCAACTTGCCAAAGATCTAATCAATTCATCTAAAAAGACTGTCCATTGAATTTCAGCTGGAGAAATGCCGGTACAGCCAATGATCACGCTCAGTATTAGCAATTTGTAGGGCGTCAAATAATAATTTAAGCTATGCAGACAAATCTGCACCTATAACGTCTATCCGTGACCATGAAAGTAGACGCAGATTTCTTTTCCAGTCAATCCCTACCTAAGCGCTCAGTCTAATTTAGAGTTAATGAAACCTCTGAGAACGACCGGCAGGTAGCCCCAGGAAAAGCGTACCTAGGCCATGGATTTATGCATTAGTACCCATACCAACAGGATACCCAAAACGCAAAATATCCCACAACTACGGCAATGTTGTGGAGAATAGGAGAAGCGATGCACGTCTTCAAAACCATCAGCGAGGCTAGCACTAAGGGCCAAGGTAATTTGCCGAAATAAGGGACGATCCCCCCAATATAATTTTTACCAAATATTGCGGAGATAAAGGAATGGGCGCAGGCGAAAGACAACATATGAGCACCGACAGACAGCTAACAACCGCTTCAAACAATTCGCTCAAAGGGTTCATGTCATAGTAAACACATCAACAGTAGCAACATGGGTAACATCAGAACAGGCTAATAATCATAGCAGCTGACAAGAGGTCGAAGCGAACCCTCACAAAGTAGAGGAACAGGAGTGCGCTCGTGACTAACTTTCGACAGATTGATTTTGCCTAACCGGAGAAAGTATAAAAAGACGAAAAATTAACACCCGGCGCATGACTAACTTGACAACCTGGGCGGTTGCTGACTCTTCTATCTACCTCCAAACAACAATTGGACTCCAACGCCAACCGTGAAGCTGCGAAGAAAAAAGTCAATACATAGACGCGGCAGATAGCATCTCAAAGGAACAGTAACTATTAAACCCAAAATGCTCTGACAAAGCACAATCTTATAAGGGGAAGGGATACAGTCAACATAAAGAAAGATTAACTATCAAGGGATGCGCGTTTGTAAAGAGTGAATGTGCTCCAGTAGAAATGGCCGATTTTTATCGATCGCATTACACTACATCAAATCCAAAAGGTTATAATTTTGATTCGCCATTTCAAATAAGTGTGGATTTGAAATAACCAACCACAAAGAGTGCAACAAATATCACAAACGGAAATTGCAAAAAAAGATGAGAAAACCGCACCTTACGTGACCCCATAATGACAAAGTTTGCAATCAACACAAAAACTTTTGAGCAGTACTGTAAGCTTTGAAATAAAAGAGCTGTGGTTTACAATTGAAACTCTGAAATTTCTATGTAGCTACAAGTCTGCAGTAAGCTTCATCAATCTCACAGGTAGCATGCGATAGAATCCAATTTAAAGAAGCTTACAAAGTTAAAGAACATGCCTTAAACGATCATCATTCTGCCATATATGGCACAACTTCCCAAAAAGATAAAATCGACTCCTGAAACAGAACAGAGGAAAAAGAAACAGTTCGCGACGAATCACAAACCAATCTTCACACAAACAATGTTTCCGTGGCAAAAAAAAATTTTAACGTTATAGGCCTTCCTGCAGCACTGATCTGAAGCGATTTTCTTCTAAAAGTGATTAATGGTCAGGAGAATGATTGCCCAGTGGAATTAGGCATCAGTTCAAAAAGCTAAGTCTGGGATTTTGGAAAAACCAAACACTTCTACGGATATATTACCAAACCAAAGACACGGAGAGGGTGTGAAAATGATGAGAAAACGCCTATACTCAACACCAATATTATGGTTATTTTCGTTCCCGAGAGCTTCGGCTCGTGGGATGAGAATGAAATGGGAACAAAGCAAGGGTATCTTACAGCTAAACATTGGGAACTGTAACAAAGTCAGGCAGCGGTAGAACCAGAACACAACCAAATATAATGAAAAAAGGAAAACTACTACAGCTGTCAGAGAATAAGCAAGGAAAAAGTGGGCGGAAAATGTCTGCGAAAAAATGGCCGCATGAAGGCAAACTGTGAATGCTACAATCGGACAGTGACCCACTTGATTATTCTCGTCAGTGGAGATACGGTAGTGGAAGATGCGTCCATCGGAGCGGAGACTGAGAGTGAGTTTACCAAAACTACTCTCGGATTCTCGCACGAGAAAGCTGCCAGTTATGCCGCTATTTAGGAGATATTCCGCATAACTCCGATGAATGGCGCCATGATACCATCGCTCGCCGATTAGGCTAGGACAGGAGACGTGAGCACTGGGGACGGAGACAGAAGCGCCTGAGACAATGAAGGGTTTCGACGAGGTTGAATCAAAGAGGCACGATGCTGGCACCCAACCGCGTTCGCCCGTGCGTCGGCAAAGAACATCCAACCACTCGCCTGTGGGACTCCGACCATATAGCCATAGTGAGTCGCCTATAAAAAATTGGAAAAATAACTACATTCAAGTCCAAAATAAAAATTATAGGATAATTTTCTGCTAATAATTTGTATTCAAACGGAACAAGAGTAAACTGGTGGATCGGCAAAGGCGACATGCCATGCATTCAGAAATCGACAAAAACGTGCATCATCCATTGAAGAAAATATCATTCGGATACTAAAGAATTTGACCAGCATCAAAGTGCAAACACACCTATTTCGGATAGTTTGAAAAGAATATATGAACAATGCAATACTCATGAAGATCAGATGCACCCATTCATAAAGTTTGGATGACAGGCCAATGAAGTGAATTCCTGCAGCTCTGCAGGTTATGCGCACGCGACCGTGAAGAGACTACCTACTGCCGAACGATATGGGTTCGGGCAACATTTAAATAATTGACCAGCAGCGAATATAATAACCTTAGCCTTACCCTTCTTAACGACAATAGCAGATCCATGTGCATTTAGAGGAGGGTCGTAATCAAATAAAGCCATCAAATCACCCTCAGAAGTAGATGTTATATCCAAAGAGGAAACCGACGTCCCATCATCACCGCATTTAGACTTTTTACCTGTAAATGTAATAGAAATCTGAGCTAAAAGCATGAGTACAAGTTAGGACTGAGTGAATGACGCCTAAATTAAGCACAAGTCCAATAATCCTAAAGCCTAGGTAAACCGAGTCAGTCAGGCAAAATGTCAAAGCGGAGATTGATGCATACCTGAATAGCAATAAGTCAAAACAGACTAGACATCTGCATAAGTTAGTCACAAGAGACTTCTTCAGCCCACCTTTATTAATTCGAGAGTTTATATTTCGATCGACGTTCTCTGAGGCGCCTTTTTTGGGTTTAGCATGTTGGCTACCCATTTACATCAGCCCACAACGAACGAAAAAGACCTAATGATGCTTAAGTAGGCCTCCAGACTATTAGTCTAATAAAACAGTGTTAAGGAAATTAAAACATTTAGTATAAATAAACCTAGAGCACCATGTTCGTAACTAAAATTTGATTATGTCTCTGAGACTCTGTTGCGGTGGATTATCCTACCTATGTTACTATTTACATGCCGATGCTTAAACTCCATTTTTAAACTCGTTTCAAAAGCATTATAATCACGAATCCTGACACGACTAAATTTAGCACGTCCTATTAATGGAGTACTTTGATTTGGACCCTCACATTACCTACAGTATTCTAGCTAATTATGCTAATACACTGGCGAAAGTATGCTCGCCATGCAAAGGGTAGGATGGCTTGGAGTCATTAATTAGCTGAAGTGCGTCTCGAGACTTTTCATAGGGCAGTAGAAGGCATGAGCGAGGGTAAATACATGTACTCCGAAGACAACAGGGGAAACTGTGCATGAGCGTGGCACGTAGGCCAGCCCACGTATACATGAGCCAGACAAATTCTAAATTGACCGCCAAACGTCATGTGGTCACATAAACAAAGCATTGCAGGCAAACCACCAATTTTCATATGATAGTATTGAATCGACTGGTACGACACAGTCGACACTTCATAAGTCATCTATTGTAGTGCCTTCCGACATTCTCTCAACTAGTAGAAATCATCAAAGGGTCCTAAGTGTAATGCTTTGTTTATGTGACCAGCTGAGGTTCGGCGGCCACATTTGGATTTGTCTGGACATTGTACGTGTGGGTTGGCCTTCGGGCCATGCTCAGGCTCATTTCTCTGTCATCTTCGGAATATATGTGTCCAGCTGCACTTACTGACTTCTTATACCGGCTAGGAAGCATTGGGACGCTACAAAGGCAAACCACAATACCGAAGCTACCGCCAGGCATTTTGTAATCACATGAGCAAAGTGTTGTGGGCGTAATATGTTATTTACTACTCAGACTTACGCAGAAAGGAGATGGAGCTTTTGGCATTGCAGAAAGTAAAGCTCATCCAGCGGGAGCGATACGACGATTAAAGCTACTGCTATTCTTAAGGACGCTTAAAAAATGAGGTAGCATAAAGACTCCTTCTTGTAAGAGACGTCCACGGCGATCTTTTCACGTTCATCCTTTGACAGACATCACTACGTAATCAATACCGTGCAGAAAGGCCCAGGATTTTAGCTGCACCAGTCACTCACTCCTATGCGACTGAGAGGATCTATATGGGTATAATAACGCAGATCTCATTCAGCAGCTTTAGTTGGATTTTGACTTACAAATAAAACTTAAAGGCGAATATGTTTGTTGGAAAATTGAATTTACCACGAATTGGCATGGAAGAGGTTCAGCACGATATTAAAGTTGACATCCATTGATGAGTACTGGCAGAAACTTTTCGAAAGAAGCTTTCCTGGAGTGTTCAATACAGTTGTCGATTTAGATGTTGTTAACGTTTCTGCGGAACAGTGGAATGGGGCAAATGTTGAAGAATGACGTGACTAATGATGGCGGAAGGAAGCAAAATCTACTCTTATTTTTTTGTCCACAGCTTGTGACACTTCCGCGGTTCAATGGAAGTTCATATGCATCTATAAATTTGTCAAAATAAAAGGGTAGATAACGTCTGCATTTGGCTCCATTCATCACCGTATTCCACTGGCAAGCCATTAACGACTGAGGGGACATCGCTGTGAAGCATCTGGAAAAGGATCCTTTCGGACGTTCCCTTATCGATCTTGTGTAAGAGTGTCGACTGTGACACTGTGCTGAACCCCCCTTGTTCTAGCGTCTACTCCTGGACACGGTCAATGGTTAAAGAAAGTGTTCTTACAAATTTTTTGTCTTTAAACTGAAATTAATTCCATACCCAGTTGAAGCTGCTTAGAAGGTCAAGTGCGATCCCTAAGTCTCATAGTAGTTGCAATGGCAATGCAATCCCTTATTTACTTAACTGTCCGTATGAGTGGCAGTCACATTGTTATTTATCTTGCTTCTGTTTGAGTGAAGCTTTGGCATCGTTCGAAGGTTAGTCCACCCAGCAGAGGTAGTATTTTTCTTAGGCGACGGCTTTTTGCATAAATGGCAATACAAAGGAAGCACTACACATACGTGTCGAAAAATGGCAGTCATTAGACGTTTGTACACTGTTTTGTTGGTTTGACTGGCCATAAGAGTGGTGATTCTTTTGGCCGTCAAATAACCAAGTCCATACTCTAATCCCCTCTGCCTAAGCACATGTATTCGGCAAAGGCATAGTTTGTACTTCCTTTTGTCCAAACTGCCTAGCAGTGAAGTCTTCAGTAGCGTTCTCTTAGAACTAAAAGGTCGGCTTATAATTTTAACCTTTTTTAAAGTTAAATGGAATTTTTACATGGAAACCAAATAGCTTTGCACAATCCCATGATCGTTATTGTAACTGTCCGAAATTTCCCATCGAGTAGGAGAAAGCATCAAGTAGGACTGAATGCTCGTACTGGGCTAGGGCTTAACTCTGCAGACCAGCCCACGCAGCCGCCACTCATACAGACAGCCGGTTATTACATCAGAATTACCCAAAATTTTCTGCACAGCCATCACACACCTATGAGATGATTTTACAATGTTTTATTAACGAAGCACGCACATATCCAATACCTCATTCGTTAATATCTTCAACATCCACAGTAACACAATAGTACCCAACAGCTATGATTGTACCTCCCAGGCTGGCTAAGTCCGCTCTGTAATCCAGCTTTAGTGGAGGTATGGGTTTTTGAAACGGGAAATCCGATCTATTAGTAAATTCAAAAAGCACAACTCGCCACATCTGCTGAGGTGTATGAATCGGTTTTGGAAGCTGCTTTATTCCATGCCACAGATCTAAATGCATTAAAATGTGACCTGTAGATCAAAAGCATAGAGTAACAAAGCGCTATAAGATAATACACGACACGCTTTCGATAGGTTCGCATTTTGTCATGGTTTTTGTAAAAATACTCCACTCACCTATAACGTCATGGTGGCCGTGCAGTTTCCAGTCAAAAGCCAGCGGTTTTACCTGAAATCCCCAAAAAAAACAATAATCCAAAATCTGCACCTTGACGCGAATTCACCTCCTACTATTAGAATTA